CCATGTTCGAACTAACATGCTTGTAAACCGAGTGTAAGGCAATTGTCGGCAGTGGACAAGGATCAAAGTACCAAAGGTGTTGAAACTCTTGTGATTGACCGTACGGTAGCGGTTGTCCTGGGCTCCGATCGCAGTGGTCTGATTTATGACGAATTGAAAGTAGCGAATGCGTAATGAAGCCTCCACTTGGCCTACGAACCCAGTTCCTCCTGTCGTTGTAGTTTGGACGTTGGAACATGTAAAGGCCAATGGATCTTGCAGGAGGAAAGGCATGCGACAACAGAAGCTCATCAGCTCGAGTGAACATGTCGATCACCACGTCGTAGTGGAGCCAGCGACCGACTGAGRCATGGGTAATATCGCGCAGTGGTCCTGGAGGAAAGAACTGGAGCTGCAGGTTGTGGTAAAAGAGTTCATCTGCACAAAGAAAAACAAGTTTATGTCGTCTACAAACGAAAAACATTATGCGTATGAGATTTCGAAATCACAATTATCGTATTGAAAATCTATACAGGAGACATAAACGAGATCGTGAAATTTACAAAAACGAGATTGAATTCTCAGTCGAATCAGACACAGTTAGAAACAACARTYTCCAGTTTCTCCAACGAATTTCTTACAAATTCAAACCAACAACGATGAGTTCTAGATCACACTCAGTTCGAAATGCAAAGAGCGATTTTTGAAATTTTTCAAAAACGAGATCGAATTCTCAGTCGAATTAGACACAGTTAGAAACAACAGTCTCCAGTTTCTCCAACGAATTTCTTATAAATTCAAACCAACAACGATGAGTTCTAGATTAAAAGTTTGATACGTCAAACATTATAACTAACTCGATTGTAACTGGTTGATAAGATTTTGACACATGTTAAAAAAGAATCCAATTAAATTTTGCCACATATATTATACGATTTTTTTTTTAAAATTTATATGTTTGTATTTATCAAGTAGCTTATAAAAATAAACATGTATCAAATTTTCAATTAACCTCTAAATTAGTTGATAAACAAGGTTTATTCCATTAAA